TAGTAAAACCAAATAGAGAAGATAGATTACGTATTTTCCAGAAACATATATGGAAGATACTGCTGAATACTATTTGCAGAAATGGGTTCAGTTTTGAAAGAAAGCATACATATCTTATAAAAAAAGACTGGGAGCACAGTTTAATCCCAATTAGCTGACAAGATATACCACAATGCTCTAAATTTGACTATGATTAAACTGATCTGCAAGGCGAAGACAAAGACGAGAGGAAAAAGCAGTGGAGGACTGAGACTGCACCTCTGCCCAGCAGAACAAAGCAAAACTCTCTCCAACAAAGTAGAACAGGATGAAAAAATCCTGGTTCCATTCATATGAAGTGGTAAAATTATAATAAAAAGTGCACCAGAACTGTAATCAGAAACAGATAAATCTTGTTCACTGTACACCAAGGAAAACAAGACAAGACTGCTAGCATGATAAACATGCAAGACGAAGCTGCTCAAAGGAGAAGACATGCAGCTATCACTTGAAGACTGTGCTGCAAGGTAAGACAGGTTCAAATATTCAATAACAGAACTCACTAAATCCTAAAAACAAACCAACAAAACCCTTCAAAAATCAAAACAATTCTGTTCAATAAAAAGATGAGTGTCATCTTTAAAGAAAAGAAAACCTTTCTGGTCATAAATCAGCAAAATGACTGAAAAAGGACCTGAAGCTCTACGGCCTATTTGCTGCTATTTGTCTATTGCTGATCAAACCAAACAGAGCTCTGAAAACACGCACAGAACAGACATAATTTTTACTTTTTACTTACTCTTTAATTACTTGCATCAGTAAGTATAAACAGGAAGAACCTAAAAAATTAACTAAACCAGACTAACAATTTTATGACAGGATGAACAAAGACAATTAGGTAGAATTACAAATCCCTTTTAACCAAGTTCTTGTTCCATTCTCAGAGACTCATGGGATTACTCAAGTAGGCTTTGAGAAGACTTTCAGACAAACACATACAAATCACGAAAGCCACTTGGTCTAAGAATTAGATCTGTTTTGAAATATGACATTTCAGAGTTCAGTTATTCCTGGAAATTACGTGGTAATTAGAATTATTACTGAATAGATTACTCTCCACAGGCACTTCCTTCAGACTAGAGCTGTTGGACTCTAACAACACTGGCATTACAAACAGTGACTTCCTTACCTTAAAAATGGGCAAGACCAAGTGGGTCCTATCACTCAAAGATCTGAAAGGAATGTGTTACTTTTTGGTTCACACAGTGCCTGTCAGGCAACTGATATTAATGCCATTTCAGGAGCTGCTTTTACCAACTCAGGTTACAGAACTTCCTTAGAGTTGCACTGAAGTTGTAAGACTCTCAGCACCCTGGGAGTTACGCTGATTACGATCTCTTTGTTTTTAATACCTGAGGCCATAATACAAACAGAGCTCCTTGTCCTCCCTTCCAGCAAAGGGTGGTCCAATACAACTTCATAGGTAATTTCAAAGATCTTGAAATTACCAAAGAGCTTGAAAGCTCACTTTAAAATCACAGAATCACAGAACATCCCGAGTTGGAAGGGACCCAAAGGATCACTGATCTCCTGACTCCACAAAGGATCACCTAAAAATTAAACCACACGTTTGAGCATTGCCCAACCACTCCTTGAACTCCAGCAGCTCGAAGCTGTGCCTACAGCCCTGGGCAGCCTGTTCCATGCTCACCATCTTTGGAGAAGAACTTTTCCCTAACATTCAACATAACCCACACAGCTTCATCAGGCCCTGTCGCTGTCACACAGAGCAGAGCTCAGCACTGCCCTCCGCTCCCTGTGAGGAGCTGCCATGAGGCCTCCCCTCAGCTCCTCTGCTCTGGGCTGAGCAAACCCAGGCACCTCAGCCACCTCTCACACACCTTGCCCTTCAAATCCTTCACTATCTTTATAGCCCTCCTCTGGATGCTATCTAATAGCTTTTTATTGTCTTCTGATATTGTGGCACCCAAAACCGTACACACTTTTGGAGGTGAGGCCACACAGTGCAGGAATTCTCACTGAGCGCTCACAGGAGCAATTCTGTTGACACAACTAATAGATAGGGAACTGCAACCTTCCTATTCAACTCTGCAACAGCTAGTAAAGCACTTAGTCTACACCTTCAGCAATCAAATACACCAATCTCAACAAAGCCTGTCACTGTTATACAGACAAGAAAAAGCTTGCTAATATTTATCAAATGTTGCACACATTTTTTTGCTAGCAAATCCAGCTATTGGTGTGGACAGAGAGGAGAACTCAATGGATGAAAACTTCAGATAACAGGTGCTTTGTTTTCATGCTAGCCTGCTAATTACAGCTTTTTTCCCACAGAAATATAAAACCAGTCCTCACACTGCAGAGAGCTCTATGTAGGCAGTTCTCCAGGTACCCTGTAAGTTCAGGTCATGTTATCAGTGAGCAAAGAAAACATCACACACCAACAGGGCAAAACAGAGCAACATCATGTCGGAAGGGAAGTAACAAGACATCTGATACCTGCACCAAGCAAGTACACATTCCCAGAGAGGGTCTTGTGCATGATGCTAGTTGTCATCTGCCATATGTTTAATCCATATATTTCACATTATTAGTGATATATATCTACTGCGTAGCTTTCTTCTCTTGACATAGAGCAACCCTTTAGCACCAGAGAGAAAACAGTATGAACCCTACAGAAAGCCAAAATTAAAGAATAATGAATTATTCACTTAACACAGATACAGTAGTTATTGCTTCAGCAAATCAACATTTATACATTCAGAAAATGGCTAAAGATCCACTTCTGAAGTTTCAATGCATAAAGACGACACAGTCAAATGCAAACAAAATAATGGCATAGCCAGTCCTTGAATTCATGTTTTCTTAATTACCTGGGCAAATTACCATTCAGTACTGTTACTCTGCAACAAGCTACAACTCTATCTGAATGTTCTGTATGTGCACATTCTTCAGTATCCAAGTGAGCTGAAATTGCTTAGAAGTCCCAGTCTCGAGGCTTATCTGCACAAGAATACTTTCTGACAGAACTATACAGTAACATTAAATAGCTATCTTTGTACCAGTAAACTCCCAACAGGGACAGATTTTGAGAACAAAATGCTTTTTCCTCTTACAGAGGAATTCATGGTACTATTTTTGCAATTCACTTCAAAGTCTAATGTCAAGGAAGCTGATATGCCTAAGTGACTTAGCACTTTAGCTAACGGGCAGCAAAACAGAGAGGTGGTCAACACTGTAGCATCTGTAGTTCTTGACACAACTTGACCACAAAGGACTCGTGCAGAGAACAAAAAGTCAGTTCCTTGGAACCAAGGAGTTAATTTTAATTAATAAGAGTGGAAAGAGAAGCACATGGATGCTGGCATAAGGCAGACAGGACAACAAAAGATGTGGAGCTTGGGAAAGAAATAATCCATAAAACTGAACCAAAAGGCCACATTCTTATGCAAAACCAGATTTCCTGTTCCCATCCCACTTTTTTGCCCTCCTTTGACAGAACACCCTCGACAGATTGTCTGGCTTAACAATGGAAAGGTGAAAGCACAGTATAAGCAGTCACTCCTGCTTGTGCTATCCGCCAAAATGCCAAAAGCAGGCTGACCTTCATTCCCACTGCCAGAAACATAAGGTCAATATGAACGTCTAAAAAGGTTGTCCTGCATATTCAGCCATGTTTTTTAAAGACTGTGAAAGGGAAACTTTCCAAAGCTAGAAGAAGGAAAGAGAAAGGTCTTTCAAAGCAGCTGCAAGAATTACCTTATAAGCCTTTCAATTGCACCAGGATGAGCTAATAAGGCTGGCCCTTAAGCCCTGGAGATTCAGCGTTCAAATTCTGCTTCAAGTTCTCAAATGAAAGGAAACTATTATGCTTGCTTTACTACTTACAGGAATCGAGCCACATCAGAAAACAACTACACACTTTGACTCGCCTCGTGAAAACGCAGCAGAGACAGGCAACGGAAGGTCCTTCAGTCTGTCTGCAGAACTTTGTCTGGTAGCATCCCTATGACTACATGTGTTAATCCCGTGTTTTGCTATAATGAATTTTTATAAGAAGCTTCCTGAACGATAATAAAATCAAGTGGTATACTTGGAAGACTTGACTCACGCAATTTATTGACATGAATATGCATCCAGTTATATATTTCCTTTAAAGCATGCACTCCAGCTATTATTCTTTGAATGGCTTTTTTTTCCGGTAATAAAAGATTCCTCATTTATGTTTCACTGATAGGGAACTGGCACCTGAAGAGTTATTTTTTCTACTTCTACTATCTCATTTAGTTTTAATAAGAAGCTTTGTACAAAGCCTTGGCTGACTTTAAAAATTAATATAATGTCCAAAAATACAATACCTCATATCTCATCACACAGAAGAGCCCAAAGGGAAAGATAGATTAGTCATCTTCAGCACCAGAAAAGTGACATTTTCAGTTTAAAACTTAATTTTCCATTTTTTTGTTCAGATTATTTCATTATGAAACTAATGGAAGCAGGGACAACATATGAGTTCTTCCTCTGAAATAGTATATGGGCACCCAGACTGAGCCTCATCTGCTTTTGGCAAGTCTTAAGCACACTGTGCTTTGATATGCAACAGGAGGGCAACAGCACAGCCATCACGATGCACCAGTAACTACAGGTCACTGAACAAGAGGGAGCAAAACCTCTGCCCATGGCCCTCTGCTCAAATGGAAAGAGGTCCTACAGTACCTCTAATAAATTGCTTCTACAACAGTCTCCACATGCTACTCCATTTCTACAGAGAACGGGCAACACAAAATACAGCCAAAAGGCACAAAACTTGGCAAAGTTTTGGTAACTTGGTAGGATATATGAGCGCAAAATTTCTGCAATAAGGATAACATCTCTGCAATTTCAGGAGAACGCTGAAATTTCAGTACATCAGCCAGTTCCATTCAATTTACTTTTTCAATTTTTAAGCAGTAAACCCAAACCAAGTCAACTCCGCTACTGTAGAAAAGCAAAGCTCTTACCTGATTTGCATGTCCTGCCATCATCTTCTAGCTGCACACCAGTGGGACAGGCACAGCTATAGAAGGGGTCTCTTGGTGATAGCAGGCACAGATGGGAGCAACCACCATTGCTTTCTTCACACGGAGTGTGAACTTCAAGAAACCAACCAAACAATCAATCAGGTTTATTTTCCTTTTTCTAGAACACCTAAAGCTCTTTTTTTTTTCCTCCCTATGAGGAAGAAATCATAGATCCCAAATGACTGGCAGAAGGTTGGTGCTAAATGACAAAGGAGCCACAAAATAAAGCATTTGATTCCCCACCTCCCCAGCAACTTATTTCTGGGAGTATCTAATTTGATATTTATGCAAAGCCAATTTTGAAAGAGCTGACAGCTCAGCACATTCTCACTGTACTGTTCTTCCAATGTTTTTGCAGTTGAACACAGTTACAAACTCTGAACACTACTTATTTCACCACTGCTGGGTCTGCTAAGCAGCATGGAAATAGAAACTGGGGTCTGGAACAGCCCGTGCATCGCAGTACTGCTGCATATTGGAAATAGTTTTGTTTTTTTTTTTTTTCCCAACTGCAGAGTTTTTACAAGACATATCTCTGAATCATCAGGCAATGCAGGGAGGAAAGGTGTCAAATCCCATGAATACTTTATCAACATTAGAAAAAAGCACAAATACTGAAAAGATTACAAATATCTACTCTTTCCTCTCGACACCCCAGATATTTTGAGAACATAAAAATTAAAAGTAAATTTAAAAAATGAGGGGAGTGGAGGGGTGCAACTGAGCCCTCCACCTCATTTACTAGAACAAAATACGGCTGCAAGATACAGAGCAGTAACCACAAATAATCAGAGAACAATGTCACATTTAAAAACAAAGACACTGCAAGCTATGCAAGAACTCTCAAAAAAATCATAGTTTGAATAAGCTTAACTACTTTACTATAAGAATACAAAAATTCCAGTTAATTTGACTTGTGTTACTTCCACTGATAGTCACAGAGAGATGGAAAGGAAAACATATAAGCCTGATCTTAAAGAAGTCAATGGCATTTGAGCTATTTTCAGCAGATCATATTTTCATCATATTTTCATTGTTACTGACCCAGAAATACTGTGACCTATGGCTGGGACATTTCCTGAACTAAAAGCAATGGCAAGAATTCAGCATAGACAAATTCTTATCTGGAGCTTTCAGATAAACCAGGGTGCTGTGCGTATCTGACAACCTCCATGAAAACTTACACATGTTCCATCACCAAACTGATATCCGAACTCCTTTTGCTTATTTTCAAGCCTGCTTGCTGATATCCTATAAACTTTGCTGCGGAAGCTGACTTTGGATTTGGCATAGTTGAACTACACAATCCAAATAAATAAGAATATCTCCACTATGCAAGAGATGATTATTCCCAGAGCTACCGAATTATATACATTCCCACGCTATTGTTTTTATCTCATTTTCACTATTCTACTAAAAAAAGTCTAGGTCAATTCACAACGAATTCTCTGAAATGTTCTCAAAAGAGTAGAACTTCACATTACTCCCCTTTCTGATTAATGCTGTCCTGACAAACGAGTAACAGTTATGCAAAAGGCTTCAAGGAAAAGTAAAACGTACAGTAGGGCTGCCGGTCTGGACTTAAGACCTGGATGTCCATGGGTGAATAGAGAGCTGATAATATTTCCCTCCTCTTCTCTCCCGTCCGTTTGTTACAGGCATGAATGGAACGTGTCTGCCAGTCTGTCCAATACAAAGTGTCCCCAGACAACGTCAACGCAAATGGATGAGTAAGACTTCCTTCAACAACCTTTTGCCTAGAAGAAAGAAAGGGCAAGGATTAGTTTGCATTGCTTTCACTAGACATCCTTCAGGAAAAAAAAAAAAACAACCATGACTTCTTAAAAACTCATATAGAAATTGTCATATTTTATCAAAAATCACTGAGCCAGGAGAATCATCAGGTGATGAAAGTGACAACCACACTGGAACATAAAACAACCTTTTAGATTAATCCAGAAGGAACTTAGCCCCAGCAAACACGCATCTGACATTTATTTGCATATCTTTATAAACTATTTTGCTTATACCCTCCTGTACTGCATGTTAAAAACACTCACGATTGTACTATAAATTCCTTTTCCTGTGTTTTCCAGTCTTCATAACTTGAAAATTAGTTTTCTTCACACATCAATTTGAAAATGCTTTGAAATAAACCAGCAGTTATCAGCAGCTACAGCAGGCCAAACTCAACAATTAACCTCTCAGGTTTTGAATGAAAGAAAAACACCTGGTTTTAGCAACCAGTAAGTCACTTCACGTCAGCATGCCCCTACAGAACATAACGGCAAGCACCTTCCAAATGAATAGTTAGCTATGCAAAAATGTAGGAACGACAATTTAGACTTTGCCCCTTCATAGCGATAAGAAAACAAATATACCATGTTTCATAGCAACACAGTATCTGGTTCAGCTACACACTGACCTCTGAAAGGCCACGCCAGAGTCCCTTAACCGGGCTGTGTGAACATCCACGTTCACCTGCCTCTGGGAGGAAACACGGGTCTTAAGTGTGCTCTTCCCCCTAGAACTTTTTTCTTTTCTCATCCCCCCTCCCTGTCCTTGTTTGCAATATATGACATCTTTACCCAAGACTTTCATGTTTGCAGTCATCAATTGCAGCCAATTCTTTCTCAGAGCAGGAAAATGAAGAAATGACTTGAGGGCCATTTGTCTGCCTCACAAAGCCCTGCACAATACAAGCTGACAAAACACAGGCCGTCCATCACAAAAGCCAGGCTCTTCAGAGCCAAATTCTTTGAGCATTCTCCCTAAGGTAGCAGTCAACAGTTTGTCTCCTGTCAGTAATGCTTTGTTTAAGACTAAATACTTGTGATGAATATAAATCAAAAAAACGTTTCGGACATTTTCAGATGGCATTCAGCTGCACTCCCTTTCTTCTGCATATGCATATATTCTCACATTTGCTATGAGTTGAACCAAAAGCCACAGAACATACAAAAACTCCAATGCGTTTTCTGAACTCATGAGATCCCCAAATTCATACATGCAATTAATTTGTGTAGCTTAAATCCAAGAGTCTTGGAGATACTCCGTAAAAGCACATGACAATTCTTCAATCAAAATAACATGAACTCAGTTTTCACCAAAAAATTATGCATTTTAAGCGTGTATAAAGGCATTCACATGGCCTTCTAAACCAGGCTTCTGAGGCAGCAAAGCAGCATTCAGATAAATCAGCATACAACTCTGAGAAGCCTTTCACTCCCAGCATCATCCTGAAGGAAAGCAAGGAGCACATTTTTCTTATACCTGTATTCCAATCTGCATTTGAATTATTTGTATAGATGAGGTTAATAACAATAAAGACTTGGGAGGGAAGGTTCATTTTCTTTTTTAATCAGCATAGTTACTATTTCCAGTTTCTGAAGGTGGAATAAAAAGTACTCCCAGAATTCTTCAAATGCATTGAGACATCAATCTTGCACACATAGGACAGATTTGAAACAGACTGGCACATGCAAGCATTTTCACATATGCAATAAGGAAAAAGAAAGTTACTATTATTCTTTCTGTTCCAGACAGAACACTAGAACTGCTCTGAAATTTCTGTCCTTCAACTTATCACTACTTCTTTCACCATTAAGTACCACAGAACAAATAGAATTACTGATTTTCCTCTCCACACTCTGCTGCCTTTAAAAACAAAACAAAACAAAACAAAAAAAAAAAACACCAGTAACAGCAGTGGCTGTACTTGTATTCTTGTATTCTACTATCGTAGCAGCTGTTTTCCACCATACATTGTCCCTATTTCCATCATTCTTAGGTATCAAGTCTCCCTCTCGCATGTACTTACATTCCAGCTGACATGCTTGGAAACTGAATCCTGCCAATATAACAGGCAGATTGCTCCAGTAACATTAATTCACCATGCAGCGTGCAAATTTTCTTCTCATTTGAGTTTTGAAGCACTAAAACTGCATTAAGACTTTTGTTGATAGCTCTGTTTGAAACTCATTTGGCTGTGTGCTTAAGAAACAGAAGCAACCTCCCTCTCACAAATCCATTTGCACATGAAGAAGGTCAATTTTGTTTGACTGGTTCAAAATTCATGATAACCTTGGAATTATTATTGAAGTCTACTTTGCCAGCAGGACCTAAGAGTTCCAGCTTCATACATTTCTTTTTCCATATTCAGTGGTGGAAAGGAGAAAAGTAAGTTGTACAAAATAAATGAAATAAAGAGCAAAAAAAAAAGTTAGGAGCAATATTCACTGGATTTATTCACATGCATAATATTTTCAGGAAGTTTTATCATATAGCTACACTACAAAGCAGGTTGAACAACGCCTGCAGTCCACATGCAGTGAGAAAAACACAAGGAATTTCACAGAACACTTCCTGCACGGGAATATCCTGACATCCAGCATGACATCAGCTCTCCAGCAGCTGACAGTAACACATGTAAGAAGTGTACAACAGTGAGGTAATTTTTCTAATGCAAAATAGTGCATGCATTACTTTTCTTCCTAAAGTACCATTTCCTTCCTAGCAAAATACAGAACTGCGTGGGGGGTGGACGTGCACCAATCTGTCACAAAGGCCAACGGCTGGGATAAACGTACTCTTTTTGAGGTGGTCTTCCGCTACCTAAATATGAGCAAAACACATTTCACTTATGCATCACAACTCCAAGTTCCTACACAAATATGCAAGTAAAGTTTATTACATTTTAATGTGCATGAGAACCGTGGAATCAGACTGGAAAACTTACACTCTGTCACCCATCCCTAAACAAGAGGGACATATTCACATTGTATTGTATGAAAATCTCTTAGATTTAGAATTATGAGACAACTTTCTATGAACCTGCACAAAGCTTTTGAGCTCCCACTCCCTTCTGTAAAGGCCTCTTCCCTTGTCTATGGTTCTGACAGTCACTTAGTACTTGTCACTCACCACAATGCCACCATTATCTAGCTTTACAGAGTGCTCTCAATAGAACTTAAGAGTGTTTTATAAAGGATGTCAATATCGTTATGCCTCTTTTATGAGTGTGAAAATCAAGCATGGAATGCAACCGCAAAAAAGTGAAAGATATCAATGGAAAATACAGTGTTATCTGCTGGGGGAGAGGCATACAATATAGACAGAAGTATTAAAAAACCCCAAATTTCTATCGATACTGAATGACTGCATTACAGAAATTTTTGTATGTTTTGAAATGGTGTTCATGTTTGCTACACAAAGGTCACTGCTATCTCCAGTTTGCCTCAGGGTGCTGTTGACACACTGGGATAGCAACCTTCTGACAAGTCACAAGTCAACACAGCACCATACGATAACAACGTTCCTCTCTTTCCCCAAGGTAGACTTCTTTAGAACGGATAACAGAATCTCAGTACCCAAAGTTGTGTTTCAAGATAAGATTCAATTGTTTACATAATTAAATATCACTTCACTCTAGAAACATAGTGGCATTCTTTTAAAAAGCAGCAAACCATACAAGCAGGACTTCTGCACTATGAGTTTCCTACCCACGTATCCTGAGTGCACACTTGAGCCTCTCCTAAACATAGAAGTCTAGGATCCAAACAGTCGGGTAGGCTGCATTTAAGAAAGAATCATTCTGGTTGCTTTGTCTGACCAGACCAAACATAATTCTATTAATCACACAGGAATCAATTGCAGTTTGGTATACCACTGACAATTCAACAGGCTATGTGAGGACCAAAGCTGGATCAGAACACAGAGACATGCCTCCTCAGTGGGAGGTTTCACTGGCAAATGCCTTTCAGAACCAATGCAACCTGTCCACTGAATGCTGCATAGCTTAACGTACAATCTTAAACGTCCAGGCCTGGCCTATCTGTAGGGTGATCTATGTCATTCTTTAACAGTTAAAATCAACAGGGACACCTGGACAGCAGCCCGCACATTTGTATACTGCGCTTTCTATCAAGCCTTAGAAAAATCTTGCTCACTCACAGTCTGAAATAAGATGAATTTGGGTACTTGTAGGCATGCCACAAAGTACATCTTTGGACAGGGCCAAGGACAGGTGTCTCAACATATATTTCCTGTTGAAAAAAAAAGCAGAGTAAAACACCAAAAAATTCCCATGGCACTAGTTGAATGTTATATTGCCTGGGGCCAAGGATGAGCATCTCCTATTACTCTGAAGATAAGCATGAGCCTTAAAAAAAAAATGCTGTGCAAGAGGGTCATAAACAATCTGTAGTAAAATAACAATACAAATATCCTTAAAGACAGTTTTATAGTATGCGAGCATTCTGTTTTTACAGAGCTACCAACAAGTGAGTTTACATTTGTAATGCTATAATGTGATGGAAAACACAGCAATGACAGCGGGTAGCAGAGTCACAGGCTGTAGCAAGTGAGGATAAGCCCAGGTGCGACAGCTGTGGATGCAGAAACAAAGGAAAAAAGCTGCTCACCTTCAGAAGGCCTCGGGTAAGCAGGGATCTCCAGCAAGAGACCCCACTGCCTCCACTGCCAACCCTTAAATGAAGTCTGGGAAGGGGTGGATCCTGGCTCCACCCTTCCGGTCACTCAGGTACACTGTACACACCTGAGCTCCCCTGAATTGGCCCTTCCTTCCCACCAGGTGCTCAATCACTACTTTAGGCCCTGACTTGCATTTCTGCTACACCAATGAACAACAAGGTTTAAACATTATTCTAGATAATTGAAAAAAGTCTTGGTTTAGAACAAATACAGGGGGTGAGAAATAATTCACACCATATTATTCACTAAAGGAAACTTACCTAAAGGAGCCATCCAGATTTGCTCTATGAATAAAACTCAATTTTGCATCAGCCCAGTAAAGTTTCTGCTCATCAAGATCTATTGTGAGTCCATTTGGCCAATAGATATCTGAATCAACAATTATTTTCCGTGTGCTGCTGTCCATTCCTGCCCGTTCTATTCTGGGTGTTTCACCCCAGTCAGTCCAATACATGTATCTAAAAAAGAAAGCAGAGATGCACAAAAATAAATCACCATGTAAGTTCATTAGTGGTCTATCTTCTATCTTCAAAGAGATAGAAGCTCTTTGTAATGTTCTGAAGCATCTTTGATTTTGTTTCATTCATGTTCCATCATACAGTGGTGAAAATGCACAAATATATATTTCCCAAAGAACATCAACATACAACAATTCAAATGACAATTCCAGAGGGTGCAAAAAGAGTCCTTGGAGAGAGCACATCACAGAAGTATTGCTTCTGCATAATGTATTACCTTTAGCCAGCAATGCTGGGCAGCCCCCATTTGTCACAAGCATTTACAACAGAGCACTGTCCTTGCTTGCCCAGTTATTGCAAGTTAATATCCTCAATCCCATTCAGAAACAACAGTTACCCAAACAATTTCCAAAACTGCCATAGGTAAACCTCCTTTTGAAAGCTGGTGTACAAAAAGAATAAAGCCCCAAAGTTCATTTCTGTTTACCAATAAACTCCTTGCAAATTTAGAATTAAATTGAGACTGCAGATGTTTTCCCTCTCCCATCAACACCCCCACTTTTATTGTCACTTCACTTACAGGCAATTCAAGTAGCCTGAATAGAGACATTAAAAGCATTTATCAACCAGAAAGGACTAGATTAAAAACGGTGAGCTCTACGAGGTCTGGGTACTTTCCCAATGCAGCTATTTCAGACATTCTATGTCAGCAAGCCCCTGACCTGAGTGAGCTCTCAAACAAAATCAGTTAGATGTCTATGCACTGAACTCACCAGCGCTCCAGGTTCTTCAGCAGTGACAGACAGGCACCAGCACAGGATTTGTACTGAGCTACATTTTAGCTAATCCAGAAACTACAGTGAAGTGGTACCTCTCCAGCCTTGCAGAGCCCGTGCTTACAGTTTTTGTAATCTGGTTTGTCTCAAATCCCCTGAAGAAGACAGCAAGGGCTATACAACCATGCTAGGAACCACAAAGGTCAACAAACATGCTTTCTGAGCACACACACAGGCTGGAAAGGTCTCATGGTTTCTTTTATGAAAGAACACTGCCTACTTGGAAGAAAGAAGCAGGGACAACATTTCTAATTGCTATCATGTTTCTTAGCATCTACAGGATGTTCTCCCCTACAAAACAAGACAGCCATGGGAACTGTAGCAGCTCTGTAGCCCCTCCACAGGCAGCTGGGGCCATCCTCTCAGCAAAGCAACAGCAGTCACAACAGCTATTCTCAGGGCACATCCCCCAGAACTCAAGCTTAAAACGCTCTGATCTCAGTGTAGGTGCTGCACCCTGCTCCAGCCACAACTCCAGTGTTAGCACAGTCGTACCACACAAGATTCTTCTGTCCTATGCCACATTAATTTACACCATTCTGATCCCAGTAGCATATAAATCACTGTTGGCCTGTTTATCCCACTGGAGAGCGGAATACAGACAGAAAGGGCTCACTTGTATCACAATACACATACACTTGGGTGTGGGAGGGTAAAACAAGGAATTTGCCAGATAAAACTTCCATACACACAAGGCCTCAGGCTTCTGATTGATGAACTGAGACAGCTCACCTGAGGATGGCTGCAGGATGTTTCCGTCCCCAAATGCCTTCCTCAAAACATCTCTCTTCCAGCAGTCAGGACAGGCCAACTGCTCATGAAGAAGCAGAAGCAGGAGCTGAGCTGCCACAGAGCACAGGCCGACGTATGAATGTAAATTGCCACTCATTTTGGTTTTCCTTAACAGGTCAGGCTGTAATTTGTGGCAGTTCAAACTGTGTGGTGAGGCAGCTATTGACAAACAATTAGAGAAGGGCAGATACCAAAGCAGCCATCTATACAGCCAGCTGGAGAATGAGACTGAGAAACTCATCCAGCCAAATAGTCATTGTAGATCAGGTAATTTTTCAGTGAAATCAGTTCTCAGATTTGGCAAAGCTACACTAGCTTCAAGTATGCAAAGGACATCTTGAGACATCTCCAGAATAATGGAAATGAACAAAAAGGGATAGACAGAAATGGGGCCCAGTACAGCTGTCTTAGCATCAACAGTTCCTCCTCCTGGGAAAAAAAAATCCACAATTCCTAAACTGAAATTTTCTTTTAAAATTTTCAAACCATAAAGTAGAATTTACTTTCTCCTCCACAATGGCCTTGTATCACCATTGAGTTCACTGGAATGTCTTCAGTAGATTCTAGACAGGACATAAATTATTAAAACAAACAAATGCAAGCTCAGTACAGAAACCATCTTACTCCAGTGTTATCTTCCAGATCCACTCAAAACAACTAACAAGTTGTTCAGTGAAATTCTGTTACATTCCTTGCTCAGGTTGCTTATCAGTATACAGTTCTTCCTTACAAAATGAAGGATCTGTTCAGGGCAGTCCAAAATCTGACTGCTGAGTGAGGAAAATCCCAGTCGTCCAAAGGTGATTCTGGGCTATACATGTAGGTTGCTCTGAAAGTAATGCCTTCTGTTAATTTTCATGAAAACTGTAACAGACATTAAGAGCACAATAACACTATTTGACAAGAAAATTCTCTGGTACAAAACACCAGGTTTTCCAAAATATACATTGGGTGTGGTAGGACAGTCCAGCCAAGACAGGTAACATGTTCAATGGTCTTCAAACTGTCATGGGGCCTGGTATTTTCATGTTGCAAGAGAAACATCTCCTGCTCTGGCCTGACTCGAGCCTTCAGCTTTGTTAGCGTCACGATGTAGTGGTCAGAGTTGCTGGTTTGTTCAGGTTCCAGGAAATCCAGAAGGATCCGCCTTTTGCAACCCCAGTGACAGAGCACATTACTCTACTGCTGAGGGCTGCGTCTTGAACTTTTTCTTCAGTCAAGATTGCACACGTTGGCACTCCATGGACCTCTGTTTTGTCTCATAGTGGTGAAATCACATTTTCTGAATAATCATTACAGTGAATAATGATGCAATCCAGGAAAATATCTTTGGCCTTGCACTGGTTCAACAGGTCCTGACAAACTTGCATATGGTGTTTTTTCTGTTCCAATGTTGCCACCCATGGTTTCCAACATTGCAGCTGGTATTCAGCTCCATAAACAGCTCCCTGGTTGCTATCTGATGATTCACATGGACGAGCTGATTGAGACACTCTCCATTTTATGGTGTGACAGCTGTGCATGGCCATCCAGAATGCAGCTTGTCTTTCATGTCAGCGTTGCCACTGCTGAAATGCACCACTCAACACTTCGCTCAACTCCACTGTTTGGTCTAAATAAATGTTCAGCAAGCACTAATGAACGTTAATGGTTCCATTTTTTCTCACACGGATGAATTCAACGCCATATCTTTGCTTCATTCACACCCTCATGTCCAACATCATTTTGTCAGACTGCCCCTCCGCTGCTATCTGTCACACAGCAACAAAATGTAATGGAATATTGGCAGAAAGGTTCAACTTCTACTGCCACACCACCAACATCCACCTCTGATGTCATGAGTCAACATCATAAAATAAGAGGCATTACTTTTGAAGCAGTCCTCATAATTTGGTTATGACAATATCACATTTATTCAAATACTTTAATATGCAAATGCAGAACAAACAGGACCTTATAAGAAAACTAGAAATCCCATGATAATTATTTAAAAGCAAAATGAAACAGACAAAACTAGCTAAGTCTCATTAAATAACAAGGATGAAAAAACACCTAAATTACCCTCGAGCAAAATACTTATCCTCAATTCTCTTATCAAAAAAGAAAAAACGTTTGCAGCTTGCCTTGAAGTGTAATGCGATCAGATGATGAGAAATAATAAAAAAGTCTGTAAGCCAAAGGGCCCTCATGGCTTTTCTAATGTACAAAAAGAGTTCCAGTTCCAAACTGTCTCCCCTCTGCCCTTCAAACCTACTGCCCTATTTCACAGACAATGCCTTCTCATGGGGCACATCCTTGGCTACACAGGCTGCTGGATAATATCGACACACTTGCCTTCACACATAATTTGCCACAGAACAGATATATCCCTACTTTTTAGCTAATTAACAGGTAATGAGCACAATCATTGAAAGTTCTAAAACAAGACAAAGTAATCAATGTAGCAGAAGTTCTAAAAAAGGCTAGCAACATGAAGATACATTTGGACAAGATAAAGAACCGTCTGTACACAAGCAACACACTCTCAAAGCACTCCCCTCCCATCTTGACTTCAACACAGAAGAGGTCATTATTGCCCTGTCATCACCTCATCCTGATTGTAGGGTGTCCTTGCAATCTCATATGTACTATAAAGCTGATCTTCCCAGAGAACTTTTCAAGATAGTATACTGAGTCTCCATGGTCATCAAGCACTTACTGATCGATGGTTTCATGCACCTCACATGTTCTCAAGTGCCCCTTGGTTCATCTCACGAGAAGGCATGCCAAGAGTAGAATAGCAAAAAGCAACTCTTGACTTCAGCTATAGCTTCCTGCCCTTTTCCAATAGGTTCCCACTCTTTTGGCAAGCAGCAGTTGCTGAACTGCCAGGAATTTCAGCAAGTCAACACCATTCTGGGGATCACTTAACACATCAGGACTAAACTAGGAGTTACGACATCATCATAAGAAGAGATGAGCTGTTCCTGCAGAAAGGGACGGGAATCTCTGGTCTATGCAGGTCTACTTAAAATCTCACTGCCGCCAAATCAAGCAGTTCCTTCCCTGGTTCCTATCCTTTCTTCTGACGTTGGCACCCTATAAGAAGGAATGACTAACTTTCGAAGCTCATTATGAAACTTCCCCAGAGAGAGCACCATTACTTTCCACCAGCCAAGACATGCCTTGGACCCTACAACTAGCTAGCACAGTCCTCTTCAGCCCTCCTCTCCCACCATAGCTCCATCTAAGCTTGTTTTGACTTTGTTTGGTCATTGCAAAGCACAACACAGCATTTGGCATGAAGCATTAATAAGGCCATAAAATGACATGTTTTGAATGAATGCTGTGTAGGATTTTCAAGAACGTACAGTGTCAAACTGCCTTTTTTAT